CAGCTGGAGGCTTTGCAGCTCCCACACGCAGATTCCTCACGTGGCATATGCCGGACTGCTTGCAGGTCCAAAAAGAACTTTGACCATTGTTGTTGCATTTATAGCTCCGTAAAAACAAAAGCATCCCTTTGGACTCAGATTCCTGATTGGAGGGAAGACGTTCAGTTAATATGCTCATACACACCAGTTTTGATATTGAACTGTGCAGTATGGTCACTAAAGGGTCATGTAAAAATAAGAGTGTTCTACAGTTAATGGAAAACTGAGTTTCCCCTTTGGAAAGAAATTTCTGGATTTTTCCTTTAGTGCTGGAAAACATTACATCACCCAGCTATACAGTCTGATACATTCCTCGCATAACTTCACATATTAGTAATGACATCGGTTCAAGTTTAGGCGAGTGAACAAAAGAAGACTGGTTGTAAAAAGGCATTTGAAATAAAACATTATTTTCTCTAGTCATTTGATCACTTTGCCTGAGTAAAAGTAAGTTATTTTCTTAAATTAATATCATATTTCTATGGAATAAATCCTGTTTTGTCATAATAGAATTGTTGATAGATTTCTTGAAATAAAACAAAATGGCATAGTCAAATGGATAAAATATTGGACTGAGATGCAGAAGATAAAGACTAACAATGCAACATAGTAGTGTGTGACCTAATTAAATGCATTTAACTCTTCTTTTTCTTTTTGTGTTGTATAAATAGTACTAGTCACTTTCCCAAATTATAAGGTTTATATTTTAAAGTGCAGACAGAGGAAAAAATGCAAATTATTTCAGCTCTTTGGCAGAAAGTGCTGTAGCTTCTAGACTCAAACTATATCTTAACATGTAGAGATGACTTTAATATTATTTTAGTATTGACTGAGCTAAATGATTTTTATTGATTTCAGGTAGGAAAAACCACTGATTTCATGCATGTGGATATGAACTACATGGGATTTCACTTAAATTTTAAAATATCTTTGAATTTCTAGTATAAAGAAAGGTGAACTGTTAACTGAATATTCATATCAGGTTAACTACAACAGACATTGATACAAATAAGAATAAAAGAAAGGGGCCATAATGTATTTGATATATTCCTTTTTTATTAATTTGAAGAGATTTTTGTTAGCCAACATTGTTTTTTTTATTGTTGTTAATAAACAAGAATTTTTGTTGTTTTGTTTTTTGTTTTTTTATTTTTTTAGCTGTGGAAAGAAAGAAAAACATTTGGGGATGTCTGGATGGAGGAGTGACTCTGATAAGTTATAGAAAGAGCAGACTCAGATTTTCCAGGACCAATGATAAGTAAGACTAATAGAAACTAAGAATGTATCTATTACACACACACATACATCTATACACACACATTTATATAATATATATATCCTAAAGCAATATATGGATGGATGGTGATAAGATAGGTACTGTTTCACTTCCATTATGGCAGTTTATTGTGAAATGATAACTAGGAATCAGGATTACCAGATTTCATAACTCTGCTACTTAGCCTTGCTGTCTTAGTTTCTGTGGGTGTGTCCTCAGTAGCTCCATTAACTCACCTACTGCGACCTCTTCCACCAATCAGGATTTTTCTCTTTCTCTCCACTGAAGAACAGCTCTCTGGGTGGTTAATAATCTCTCCTGTTTCAACAAGGGAGCGTTTGTGATTATCAAATAAAGAATGTAATGGACTTGATAGTTGATTTCTCAATATCTATTTCATTCTGGACTATTGATCTGAGCCAATCATGATCATTTTGTTCTCCTTGCCAGTGATTGGTTCAGCAGTGGCCAATGCTGGGAAGCTTCTGAAGAAAACAAAAGAACAAAAATAACCCTTATTCTAAGAAGACACCTCAGGAGGAAATGCTCTTCACCTGGATGTGATGTGTGGAACTGCTTTTAGCGCACACAGCCATCCTGAGGCTGAAGTCAACTTAGAAGAGCTGGCCGATAGGGGGCGCCTGGGTGGCTCAGTCGGCTGAGCCTGTGACTCGATTTCGACTCAGGTCACGATCTCAGGGTGGTGAGACAGAGCCCTGAGTTGGTCTCAGTGCTGGGCGTGGAGCCTGCTTGGAATGCTCTCTCCCTCTCCCTCTGCAACCCCCCACCCCTGCTCTCTCTCTCTAAAATAAATAAATCAAAAAAAAAAAAAAAAGAGCTGGCTGATGGAAAGTGCTTGAGATAGTGTGTATTTCATACTATCAGACAGTATAGGGAATTGCAAAAATATAGACGCCACGATTCCCTCAAGAATCATACTGTCTGCATTCAGTCTAGTTGGTAATATATACACAGATATGAAAAAAAAGCTATAATATGATTGCCAAACAGTATATTTATGTTTGTGTTCATTAGCGTAAGATGGGACGATTGAGGCAAGATTTTAGGAGGGCAGTCTTAAAGGACAGGCTGGGTTTAGATTAGTACAATGAGAAGTGGAAGTTACAGTATTCCGGGAAGGGGGATTTATTCTGAACCAGTGAATGGAGGAAGGACAAAATTTGGTAGTGAGTTACAAGGACTAGAAAGTGAGTTTGATTGACACAACTTACAGCAGTAGGGGAGGAAAGATTTTTTTGCCTTCTATCCTCAATAGCTAGGTCTATGAGGTAAATGACAACAGGCATATTAACAAGAGAAAAGGTATACAAATTATTAATTTTTAATATCACATTCATGGGGGCATCGGAGCTAAAAAAAAAAAGTGACTACCTGAAGAGTGAGATTTGAGAGCTTATATTATGTCTTCATAGAGAAAGGGGAGGAGGATGTGTGCCTCTTAAGAAAGAATATGGGATTTCTAGGAAAGAGGAATGGGCCTTTAGAAGAATAGATGGGAGGTATGATAGTTTGTGACAAAGTTTTTTGGGTGCCCTCTCCTGTGATAAGAGTCAATCTTCTTTAGTTGATGAAACTCCCAGGGAGGGGATTTATGACAGTAAATTCCTTTTGGAGAATCTGTCTATAGGCAGAGAGGAGTTCAAAGAAAGCCTCCCCCGCATTTGCTCTTTTTCAAGGGGTTTAGCTCAAAATAATCCATATGCGAAAGAGACATCTTCCACAGCTGGAAGAAAAAAATCAGTCTGGAAAGTTCCCTACTACTAAAATTAGTGTTAATTGTTTTTATGTTGTCTGGTCATTTCATTGCTTAGAAGGAATGTACTTGTAAAGGATTTTACATCAAGAGACACAATAATGCAGTCCTTAATTGATCCAATACAAGTGTATTTTGTAATCAATCAATTCTATTTTCCTCCCCTGAATGAGAAACCTTTTGGATGGGTTTGAACACTAATTTGCATCCTAATATCCAATTTTCCCACATACCCTCATTCTCTTTAGAGTTTTCAGTCTTTTGATAAGGGATGACAATTGGCTCTAGGGAGGTTACAATTTCACCTGCTGTGAAATGGAAAATCTCATTACCAGTCCCCAAGTCCCTGCAGCTATGATATTGGCACTGATAAGGCCATGAAAAGCAATTTAAAAAATATATATATAATCTCCTGCACCTTTAGGAGGTTTAACTAACTGATTATCATGTTTTTCTTTAATATTTTGGACTCTGATATCTACTTGAAAAGATTGTATCAGTTTGTAGTATTTTTTTATTTTTTATAAACTTCTTAGTATCAGTCCCACCCCACCTCTGGGGTTATATCTCATCAGCAGATTGTATGATAATTAACTCAGAACAGAATTGCCTGATAGGTAAGAGCTTGGATTTCAAAACAAAGCCATGACCCTTACTTTTTTTTTGTCTGTAAAAACTTTAGTTTATCCTGGGTCTGCTTAACACTTTATTTTTTTTAATTTAATTTTATTTTGTTAATCACCATACATTACATCATTAGTTTTTAATGTAGTGTTCCATGATTCGTGTTTGCGTATAACACCCAGTGCTCCATTCAATACAAGCCTTCCTTAATACCTGTCACCAGGCTAACCCATCCCCCCACCCCCCTTACTTCTAAGTTTGCTTCATATAAATTAATATCATTTTTGAAACTGACACTTTCACCATATCAATACAGAATAGAATAGACAGGGCTAGATGCTCCAAGCATAATTTTAAACTTCCTTGTGATTGTCATGGATTTTTTTTTTTTAACTGGGACAATGATTATATAAGACTTTATGAGTGGTAAAACAAACTGAAACAAACAGTAAACAACAAAGCATTTTTCATTGGATTCCAAGGAAATGCATTTTTTGTTTGTGTTTTTAAGTGCTTTCAAACGATACCAATTTGGTCAAAATTAATTGTTCTAAGTTATTTAAAATAGAAAAATGTGGCAGTTTTTTCTCTTTTTGATAGTTGACAAGCAAACATGTAGAAAAGAAAGCTGAAACTTGTAGCTCTGTATTTTCCTTATTTAATTGATCTAGTAATAGAGAAACTTCTTTTACCACTACCTCCCACCCCCCACCATTCTCCCCAACATATTAAACTCAGTGAGGACATTCATTGGTTATTTCTTAGGCAATACTGTTTTATAAATGTCAGCATGATAGTTTTATGAATTGCTAGACTATCTCTCTGGCCATATCCTCATAATTATAGCATTCACATACTCCTTTGCTTAGGCAGAAGGTTAATATACATTATTAAAAAACTATTTTTTGCTGTTTTATTTCCCTTTTATCTCATTGTCTGCACTCCCTTTGTGCTTCTCTAGATTTTGATTACAGATTACTTCTGAACAAGTAAGATGTTTACTTAATTTAATTTAAAAGAAAGCAGCAGGGAGTATTTAGGGCAGTGTTTCATGAATTTAGGAAATTAAGTGCTAAAATACTTCTTTTGTTTTTTATTTTTTATGACAACTAGCTTTTGGGCATCTGACAATGCCTACTATTTTTATTTACTTCTATTTGGAAAAGCCTTGTGGTAGTTGTGAATTTGTCTCAAAAAGCATCTTTTCTCCATGGAAAATTACCCATTTCTATTGCTGGCTATTTCTAAATGCTTACCAGAGTTTTGTTTTTTCTTCTTCTCTTACAGCCAGCAGTCAGCAGAGGACCTTGCCCGAGTACCTGCCAACTCCACTAGCAATATCTTGAATAGGCTATTGGTCAGTTATGATCCCAGAATAAGACCAAATTTTAAAGGTTTGTTTCTTACCCCCCCTCCAAAATCTTCAATCTTTGCAGTTTAAAAGTTAATTTTTTTTGTTTAATCATTCAGTTGTGATATTCAAAACAATAAGGTTTCAAATTGGCATGCTGCTGTCCTGTGATGTTGCTTAGACTTAGAGCAATTTAGTGACAAAGATACTCAAAGACAAGCAGAATATTAGTTCTGATAGTTTTATACAGTTCCCAGTTAAAAGAACAAAAAATAAGTATATTGTGGATTAGACTAACCTCCGTCATGGGTTTGCTAAGTACTTAGTATTCCTAACCTTAGTGATTTAAATTTCAAGCTCTGGACACGGATCTGGCTTTCATTCACAGATGCCGAAGTTATAATTTGTAGACTAGCCTATACTCGTTAGGGATAGACAATAGTTCTGATATGTATTTAGATTCTTTTAAAATTTTTGCTAGCATTTCACATTGGTAAAAATTTCCCTCTACTCTTTTGCCGAAGAAAGATGGCCATATAGTTTTTAAAAACATGTTAACTTTGTGAATAAAAGCAACTGTGTTTTCTACAGCGTAGATCGTTTCTACTCCAACAGAATATTACTATTTATCACACCTTTCAAGAACCAAAACCATACTTGCAATAAAAGTCACGAGAAGATTATATAGTTGTGTAAACTTTCTTTCTTTCTTTTCTTATTTTCTTTTTTTGTCCTCTTGATGAGTTAGGAAAAGCTATCTGAAAAAAGTCTCCTCTGGAAAACTGTAATCCTTATTGCTGGCTAAGGACAGGTATTAATGTAGATCTGATTAACATTATAAGGCTTGATATTTTTTTCTTTTTCCTTTACAGAAAAAAAAAATGTCTGCAGCTGTTTCTAGTCAACTGAAGTTATACAACTATGTTGTAAAAACAGGGTTTTTGTTCATTACCAGAACCTATTCAGTTACTTTCAACAACAGCCATGGTCTGGGTTGTCACATGTCTACCATATATTGATTCACCACCTGTTTTTCATCAGTCAGTGGTTCTGTGGCTAAAAGGCTAAATTCACATTTTCCCTTTGTTAGCCCAACCAGCAGCCCACGACGAATAAAAAGAAAAAAAAAAAAAAGCAAGCAAGCAAGAAATTTGCAACATTATACCTTAATTCTCACTCCATGAACTTTTAAATTATTTTCCAACAGGTCAGGCAAAAATCTTTATAATGATTCTGTTATATGCCTGATTAACTTCGCATATTCATGAATTAAAAATCAAAATATAGTCATCGTAAGATGTATTGAATACAGCTTTACTAATGAAAGATTTGAAATGATTATAAAAATGCAAAAAATTAAAACATTTAAAAAATGGTGTCTTTTTAAAGAATATTTTATGTTTTCTTAAGGTAAATGCATTAGCTCAATTTAAAATTTCTTTAAAGGTAGACATATTTACTCAGTCTTAACAATTTAAGAAATAAATATTTCTGAATAAATAACATGAGTTAATACAACTTAACTCATTTTTTATTTTTATTATGATCCCTTGCTTAGAAAAATAAGTCAACAGCAATTGTGAACATGGAATACTGAGACCATAGTTTTAAAGTTTTACATCCCATGTGGATTGGAAAAAATATAAAATCAAGTGCATAAACCATAAAAATATGAAAATTCTGACCAAGTTTTTTACAGCTACTAAATATATTCTTAACTTTTATTTGTAGGCATTCCTGTTGATGTAGTAGTCAACATTTTTATCAACAGTTTTGGATCCATTCAAGAGACAACAATGGTAAGATTACAGGCAGTTTAATATTTTTAATTATCAAAATTTTAACTAGAGGATAGTGAAAGTAATAGTAAAACTGAAAAATAAGGAGTAACTCTAAGGAAAAATGCTTGCTTTCTTCTAGTATGAAATATCCAAATTCCAAGGTGTGTTACATCAGTGATTTCAGTGCTTATATAATTTTGCAATTCAAATGTAGCCTTAATGCTAATTAAAACTTACAGACTTGGAAGAATTAATATACTCACTCTGAACATCTAATTGGATACCACCTGGGAAAAGCATTTATGCAATGAATATTCTGGAGCAACGTTTATTTCCTAGTATGCTTATATGTATGAACATTAAAAAATATTTAAGTGTTCACAGTTTATTTTTCTTCTAGTTTCCTGAGGAGAATCTTTGTTTCCTCTGTTGTGCTAATATTGTGATGTTTGGATCAGAGAATTGTAAAAAGCAAAGAGGAAAATTAATTTTTATAAGATAAGGCAACAGAGGTCCCTGAAAAAATTATGTAACGAGAGGAAAGGTCAAGGAAGGGCAAAAGAAGAGTGAGAAAGAGATGACCGGCAGGCTCCTGTCTTGAACAGAAAAGAAGGGTTTGAAGGAGTGGCTGCCACCCATGATGAGTTGGACTGCAGGGACAAAGGCTTCTATAAGGTAGTAGTTGTGTTAGTAGGTTACTAATTAGTAGATTACGTGAGCAGATTTTCTGAATGATGTGTGATGTAATTACCCCTCCGCTTCTTAAAAGGCATTCAATAAAGTCCACCTGCTGTTTGATGTTTTAGAATATTAGATTTTGTGCCCTTTTTGAAAAACCACATGCTGAAATGATAGGGGAGAAAGAAGGCCCAAGTTTTTTCTGTTTTTTTTTGAGATACTTATATTTTATTAATAATACACATTTTGGATTGAAATCCCAGGAATGGATAGAACACAGTATAGTTTTTCAGGGACTATCTCAGGCTAGAGAAAGAATGATTTAAAATATTTATTCCTTTATTCCTCATAGCAGCATAATGTGTTATAAAAGTAACTATATATTGCATTTAATTTGTGACACCCATTTTTGTATCTAATTGCAATGAGAATGTTATTTATTTTTTGTAGAAGCATATATTTAGCCCCTGAATAACTGATTGTTTTCTTAGTGTGTAAATATTTTTAGAGAATTGTTCAAAAGAAGATTTTGGAATCAAACTCATTTATTTCCAGTGACTTTTTAGTTCACCTAAGTGATAGAAACAGAGTACGGATCACCAGAAGACAGCTACAGAGTAAGATACAGACTACCGTATAGCACTTAGGAGACAAGTGTAGCACCAGTTAACAGAAAACGTGGTTGGTCTAGCTAAGCACTTCACTTTGTAAGAATAAGAGATGTCCTTTTCTCAAGGTGAAACTTTAAGGGAATCCATTTTGTCTCTACACTATTCTCTGTGCCCTCTTTTGTCTTTCATGGCATCATTACCCTAATCCTAAATCATCCCTGAAATATGTTCTGGCCTGTTGGAAACATTCCTATTCTATCTTGCATTTTGGGACACCTAATGCAAGGATATTTCTTCTCATTTGCATAAAGACTACATATGTGTCCAGCTCAGTAGGTATCATTAATATATCTGTTCTTTAGTAATCATTCATTGAATGCCTTCCAAATGTCAGACACTTAAACTTCTGCAGGCCCTATCAGTAGTTACTTGATGATATCAGGTTGAAAACACCTGGGGGAAAGGTATGCTAGAAAAGGGAGAGGAATTTTCTTACAGATTATTTGGGGATTATAATAAAATATTGCATATTTATAACATATTCTCATATTGTCCTCCTTCAGGGATTCATCATAGTAGCTAGCCCAGACTACTTATTGCTGGGACCAGATTCAACCGATTCTCATCAGGTAGTCTTTGTCCCTGCTATTTATCCCTGATTTTCATTTCTTATCTTCTAATCAGAGCCTTTTCTTGCTGCTCTGACTCACTTTGTGCCTTCTTTTCAATCCAGGTCTTTCATCTCTATCACTTGTTACTTAAATCTGATAGCTTCTTTACTGTAATTAAACTATTTTTTGTGTGTTTTTCCCTTATTCTCTAATGGAGTGTAAACATTTTAAAGTCAGGAATAATGTATCCCACTTCTTCATTTTCCATTTGTTCTTTATTACCTAATATAAACACTGGTCAGGAATACTGGTGATGGACTCAGTAGAGTAACTTCAAGGGTATACATGTATGGAGAAGATGAGAGGATATTTCTTTTTTTCTTCCAATCACCCAGGGTGGGCTTCCTTTATTATTATTTTTTAGCTTTATTGAGGTATAATTGACAAAACTGTAAGAAATTTAAAATGTACATGATGATTTGATACATGTCTACATTGTGAAAGGAGTCCCCTCGTCAAGTTAATGAACACATCCATCACCTCACATATTAATCTTATTTAAAAAAATTTTGGTGAGAACATTTAAGTTCTACTCTCTTAGCAAATTTCAGTTATACCAACAGTGTTATCAGCTATAGTCACCATGTTATACATTAGATCCTGACTTTATTCAGAACTTATTCACCTTATTCATCTTATAACTGAAAGTTTGTATTTTTCTACCAAACTCTCCCTGTTTCCCACACCCCCAAGCCTCTGACAACCAGTTTTCTACTGTTTCTATGCTCTCCAGGCTCATCCATGCTGTTGTAAATGACAGAATTTCCTTTTTTTAAGTGAGTAATATTCCATTATATATATATATATAATATATAATAACATTATACACACACACACACACACACATACACACACCACATTTTCTTGATCCATTCATTCACTGATGGACACTTAGGTTGTTTCCGTACTTTAGCTATTGGAATAATGTTGCAGTGAATATGGGAATGCAGATATCTCTGCAAGATTGTAGTTTTGTTTCTGTTGGATATATATACCCAGAAGTGTGATTACTGAATCATATGGTTTTTCTATTTTTAATTTCTTGAGGAACCTCCATACTGTTTTCCACAGTGGCTATCCCAGTTTGTTTTCCCATTGGCAGTGTACAATGGTTCCCTTTACTCCACATCCTTGTTGGTATTTGTTATCTCTCTCATTGATTCATTGATTCATTCATTTATTTATTCTGCTAATAGCCCAAGAGCATATTTCTTAAAAACAAAGAAAACAAAAAAGTCCCTGGAAACAAGAGGTTGGGAAAACAGAGAGTATTAGATTTGTCTAAGTACAGGATATATGTTCAGGGAAACAATATGGTGGCCAATGTCTAAGTTGCAATGTTAGACTGGCTTGTGCTTGATTCTGTTGTGTACCTCATGTGCTATACCCCAACAAAGAGTGAATAAATTACGAAAATAAAGCAACAATATTTTGCCTGGCATAGTAGCTCTCAGTGATGGTGATTCTTGGGTTGTTATGCATTTTCAAATTCATTTAGTATTTCTCAATAGAATCCCATCCCAAAGAAAATGAACCATTTATAAGTTTATTAGTAGCACCATTGTACAGTTGTGGTTTTGTTTATTAATAGCCCCCTAGAAATTTCCCCTACAAAGATCTGCTGAAATAAAGGAAATTGTAAAGTCTGGGAAGCTTTAATATTACCCCAAACTTTTCTCTCCCATTCAGACCTTTCTACTTCAACTAGCAGTTGCTTATTCCAGAAGGCATAATGCAGGATGCAGAGCTTGGAGGGGTGACTGTGACTTCAGTAGCTGCTAGTCAGTGGGTGGACAGATGTAGGGCAGCTTCTGAAAGGGGAGAGCTCCCATTCCTTTTTTCCAACAGATGATGTTGATTATCAAAGAAGCAATCAAGGTTATAGGCATTCACATTGTTGTTAGGAAATTTGAGCCGATTCCATTGGGGAACCATTGCTTCATGCTTATTTGTTTTTTAATTCAGATGCTAACTATTGGTGACTAAATTAAAAGTAATCTCACATTTATTCAGAAGCCGTAATTGTGTAGTGAAGGAAAAATCATAGCCATATTAATATTCCTGAAAATCTTCCACACTTCCATGGTTATATGCCCCTTCAGCTTGTTTTATGATCTCATTTTATAACTTTATGATTCCTTTTTCTCATATCTGTGTGTTTATTTGTATTCCACTATCTTACATTTTTGTAAGGTATCATTATAAATACTATACGGGGTATTTACTGACATTAATAGTAACATCACCAAAATTCTCAAATAAATGTAATCATCCTAATTTGAAGTTCTAGTTTTATCAGCTTATATGTTACCGCCTGTGGCAACTGAAACAAGAGTATTCAGAACAGTGAAAAGAATGGTTTTTTAGAGGCCAGGTGGCATCTGCTCTGTGGTTATGTTTATAATATTTGTTGATTTTTTCCATTCAGTTCTTACCTTTGGCTTAAATCACTGGGATTTTCATAATTGAAAATGTGAACTATTGCACTTGGGGAAAAAATTGGGTAGTATGGTTTATTATAATAATCTGTACACAGAAACTTCATCTCATCAGAAATACGTAAGAGCTATTTAATGGAAATGGGAGCCTGTTTATATAATCCATATTCTTTCTTTGGTTTAGGCGTGCTTCATAATTATATTGAATTATTATTATACTACAATTCATGATCCCATCAGACTTTCTATGCCTTTCTGCTGCATGACTTATTATTTGTCTTAATAGACTTCAATTCTTTTTGAGCAACCCAGTGTGCCTATCAGGAAAAAAAAAAGTCACATTCGGGATCTGCTAAAAGAGCTGAATTCTAGTTCTTGGCAATTATTTATCTTTGTTGTTTTAAAAGCAATTTCATGTATTTCCCTTTATATAGACTTACATTTCTTTCCTTAAAACTTGTCTTAGTTTACTATTCTTTTTTTCTTGTTGCTTTTATTATTAACTTTCCAGCATTATTCATTGTAGAATAATATCAGACATGTTTGTCCCCATTTTTTTTCTATTTTGTGTCTTAGATACACAAACCTTCTAAAGGTTTTTATATTTATTTTTTCTCATA